TTTTTTTGGATAGTAATAATTTTTGGTGTTCCTTTGATATATTTAATAATAATATTATTCTCACCATCATCTTATTAATAAGGTTCTCATAAATAGTTCCTACTGTAGCCAAAAAATCTAAAAAATATATGAGCACAGTTATTTTTTACAGACATTTTAAATTCAAAATTGGACGAAATTACATATTAAAAAACCTAGAATAACTATTTTAGTTATTTTGTTGTGATTGTATAATATTATTCGTCGGTACTTGAAACTTTAAAAGTATACTACTATATATATCTATGATAGTATCATGGTTTGTTGTTGGTGTATAACGCGTTATAAGTACCTAATGGACATTGTGATATGATTAATTTGGAATTTATTATAGGTACCTATTATAGGTCAAATGTTGGTTTAGTAAAATAGATATGTATATAATATGTCTTATACCTAGACTGACTACCGTCTCCGCTCAGAATCGTTTTTCTTATACAATGATATTATATCGTTGAATTCAAATTTAATATCATCCATTATCCAGTGACCCACTTGTACCCTACTGTACAGCAGAGCGACACCCACTTGCCCACCTTTGTTTCATTGATATAATTATATACGCATATACCTACCTAGATGACGGGTAAAAAACTATCAGCTAAAAAGTAAAATACACAGAACGTAGTCAACGGTATTTAAATATTTAATTTTATGTTTAACTTTTTAAACGAAGAAAACAAGATTCCTTTGATCACTTCAGTTTTAGATTCTGAGTGGAACGATGAATGTATTGATTACAATGATGTGTGTTTTTTTATTTTATTTGTGACTGTGTACACGGTAAGTAGTCGAAATAATACTTCGATTTTCAACTTCAGTATCATATTTGATTGGAAAGTGAATATCGTTGGTAAATTTAAAATACATAGTTATTTTCAAAACCTCCAAGAAAAACAAAAGAAAAATTAAGGAAAAACGGGAATTTTTACGCAAAATCGATTTTTCACAAAATTGAATTTGGTTTTTGGTGTAACTTTAAAACAAATGACCGTAGACACTTGAAATTTCCACTGGTTGTTTTTATTTGAATTTTCTAAACACTATAACATTTTCAAAATATTTTGATTTATTTTGAACTGTTTAGGGACATTTTCATTTATCATTTTTTTTTTACTTTTTTTTCTAAAAATATCAATATAAATTTAATTTGTTGGTTAAAAAAACTTGAAAATTTAATAGAATTCTCCTAGTATATTATTTCAAAGGCAGATGAAAAATATTAAAAATCTTTGTCACAATTTTTTTTTTATAAGCATTTAAAGTTCAAAAATTGACAAGATATGGAAAAATCACGAAATTTAGCAAAATAATTTTGAGTTAAGAATTTAAGAATGTAAAAATTTTTCTTTTTAATTCTAAGATTTGAAAATGTAATACAAGATTCCTTATAAGATTATCTACCTTTATCAAAAAAAAATTGTCTATAAGAAATAAAAATGAAATTTTTATGAGCGTTTGAAATTCAAATTTTTACAACATTGGATATTCACTCGATTTCTCATGTAGCGATTTCCTTATTTTGTTGTTATTCAAAAACGAATAACTATAGATACATGAAAATTTCACTGAATTTTTAAATTAGCATTTTCTATACACCATAACATTTTTAAAATAATTTGATTCTTTTTGAGCTGTTTACGGACATTTTCAATTTTTTTATTTTTATTTTTTTCTATAAATATCAATAAAGTTTTATCTGTTGGGCCGAAAAGTGTAAAAATTTAATACAAGGCTCCTGATATATTGTTACAGTAGCAATTGAAAAATATTAAAAATACATAGTCACAATTTTTTTTTATAAGCATTTAAACATCAAATTTTGACAAAAATTATCAAAATCTCAAAAATTATCAATTATTGTAATTAATAAATTATAAAATGTTCAGTTTTTATAGCTAAGGATTGCAAATTTAAAACAAAGGTTCTCATAAATAGTTCATACTGTAACCAAAAAATCTAAAAAATATATGAACACAGTTATTTTTTACAGACATTTTAAATTCAAATTTGGACGAAATTACATATTAAAATCAATATTAACGATTTTTGTTTTTGTTGCAATTCAAAAATATTATTCGGGGATACATGAAACTGAAAAATCAAAATATTATGGCCTATCCATTCAATCTACCATAGTATAAGGAAGAAGTATGCTCATGATAAGACTGTGCATATTTTAAGGAATTTATTCATAAATTCCATATAATTTAATACCATAGATATATAATATATATATAATATGTCTTAAACCTAAACTGACATACCGTCTTCGCTCAGAATCGTTTTTCTTATACAATGATATTGTATCATTGAATTCAAATTTAATACCATCCATTATACTGTGACCCACTTGTAACCTACTGCACAGCAGAGCGACATTCACTTACCCACCTTTTTTTCTTTTTGATTTAAATTTTTGATAAGGATTTTGATATTTTCGGTTTTGATTGAAAATTCTAATAGCGTTATCCGATTTTTGTCGATTTTGATTTCAATTTCTTATAGCAATAACCTGTTGACGCGTGCTATTATATTATTATATTGTACTATATTATTATTATTATTTTATATTAAGAGTCAATAATAATTTGTATCGGTATCGTTCGGTCTTGATAAAGACGATACGCGGGCCGATCCCGATAACACATTATTATAGACTTGTATTATACTGTGTGACTATTGAGTCAGTCGCGTACGATCGATGTAATCGGCACCGTCTCGCGTCGTCGTAATAAATAACCAGAAATAAAGATATATATTTTTACGATCGAAATAAGGTGCGTTACAATATATTGTTTAAACTAATTATTCCTATCCGAGAACCAAAAACAAAAAAAGCGTTACAGTCCACAACATGGTCCTTCGACGACGGATAGCGAGTAATTTAGATTAATTTGGAGTGAAAAGGCTTAAAAAAGTGCGAAGCCACGTGTACGCGAACTCAAAAAGTTAAGAAACGATTTAATAACAAAGCGAGTTATTAGAGCATTGGAGTTGGATGTTGGCTGATTGGGGCAAAGAGCGTGCACCGTCGTCAAATTCATAAAAGGTAAGAGATTTCCAATTTCCTTAATACATAGTACTTGAAAATTTATATTTTCTCGTGGTAAAAATTCCTTATATTTGGGCTATACCCGGGGAGATAGTATAGTATAGGCGACAATATAATCGATTAGCACGTCACTATCAGTATTTTATTTGCGATAAAATAGTGAACGTATATGCTTCACAACAGTGGCGTGGCGAAGGACATTTTTTGGGGCAACCGCCCCTAGTAAAATTCAAGAGTGGGTGGGTGGGTAGGTCACCCAGTGGTGATATTGAATAGGTATGAACACTAAGAACAGTAAGAACACCATGAACAAATGTATATATAATTGGGTACCTATAAACCTATAACTGGGTACCAAAAAAATGTATTCGCCCCTACATAAAAATCTTGTCGCCACGCCATTGCTTCACAAGGTCCGTTTCGCCAGCCCCCCCAATATTGAAATCTCGGATTTTTTTTTCACTAAAAATTAGCATGCAATTAGCATGAATTGGCAAGACTATTATCATAATTTGCACGACAATATTTAATGAGAAATAATCAATAAACTTTGGGGGGGCTGTTGAAACGTTTCGCCGGCCCCCCCATCCATGAAAAAAAAAGATTTTCCCGAATTTTTTTTAACCAATAATTAGCACGCGATTAACATGAATTGGCACGCCTACGCACGGAATTGGCACGCCAATATTTACCGAGCAATCCCCCTTTCTTTGTTTTGACCGTTTCGCCAGCCCCCCCCATCCATGAAAAAAAAAGATTTTCCCGAATTTTTTTTAACCAATAATTAGCACGCGATTAGCATGAATTGGCACGCCTACGCACGGAATTGGCACGCCAATATTTACCGAGCAATCCCCCTTTCTTTGTTTTGACCGTTTCGCCAGCCCCCCCATCCATGAAAAAAAAAGATTTTCCCGAATTTTTTTTAACCAATAATTAGCACGCGATTAGCATGAATTGGCACGCCTACGCACGGAATTGGCACGCCAATATTTACCGAGCAATCCCCCTTTCTTTGTTTTGACCGTTTCGTCAGTCCCCCCCATCCATGAAAAAAAAAAGATTTTCCCGAATTTTTTTTAACCAATAATTAGCACGCGATTAGCATGAATTGGCACGCCTACGCACGGAATTGGCACGCCAATATTTACCGAGCAATCCCCCTTTCTTTGTTTTGACCGTTTCGCCAGCCCCCCCCCCCCCATCCCATCCTTGAAAAAAAAAAGATTTTTTTTACCAATAAGTAGCAAGTCTGCTTATTTTGGCTACTAATATGTATACAATTATTTTATATAATGATAAGATTAAGGTGTAAAATATTAATTAAAATTATTAATACAAATCAATAATACCTAATTATTGTATGTTTGAATCGATTAAGAATCACTTAGGTATACATTTACTACTTGCCTGTTATACTGGACTCTTTTCGTTTACAACAAAATATAGGATACGACGGGATGAGCCAACTTGTATACAATCGGGAGGCAGTTTAATAAAAATTATTGAACTTTTTGACTTACAGTTGGGAGGCAACTAGTAGGTACCAGTAGTAGCACCGTACCTAGTTTAGCTTTCGATTACTTTCGTTTGCCTTAATCATAATATTATAGTTTTGACGTATCTTAGATATACGTTCAAGGTACAATTCTATATATTATTATTTTATACATCAATTACAGTTCATAACACGAACATGTTCAGTTAGGCCCATTATCTTCTTGAAGAATAAATAAAAATAAAATAACAAATGTATATGACGTAGGTACATTGTCAAATACACCTAAAGGCTAAAACATAAAAACACAATATAAGATAAAAGAATATAATATAAAATATGTTTTATTTTTTATTTAATTAAATTTTTAAAACAAAAAAAAACAATTTTTTTTTTATATTCAAATATTTATATTGTGTAAATTAGAATTTCACAATTAACTTTGGTTGTTTCTTTAACTGACTTTGGTTTTTTTAGTAGATCGTCGTAGATTTCCCAGTTGTGGGGTCCACGTTTACACAACGCAAAATAGTGACCTATTGATGATCTAAGTCGACTGAGTCCTCGACGATAGCTGCAGACTCCTCTCAGTTCAAAACTTTTTCCCGAATATTGTAGAACCTCAGGAATATTTTTCAGTTGAATTTCTAGTTGAGGAAGAGCCTCTGTACTATATTCATTAACATTTTCTCCTAAAATCATATTTTAATGATTCATAATATTTTATTAATCATAATTTTGATTATTTTGCATATCTCTATTTTATGTTTATACTTTTTTGGAAAGTCGGGCAGGTCAGGTTAAAAATATTTAAGTTAAATATAAAAAAAAAAAACATGTATACCTATTATAATTATACCTTTTTCAACCTTTGTAAATACCATGCATTTTTTAAACTATTTTAATTCATTTATTCAAACCTATATTAATGTAGATAGTTACGTAAATACAATAGGCTGGGCAAGTTAACGATTTATGGTTAGTCCGAAATTATTTTTTACTTTCAGAAACTGTGAGTGTACTTATAAAGAATACTTTACACCATATAGGTGCGCAGACTTCAATTTCTGGTTTAGCAGTAAATAGTTATAGAGCCCTACTGATCTAATACTTCAACATTGCCCCTAAATTTTTAACTCAACAACATACAATTATACATTTAAATATAATTAAATGAAATAAAATAAATTTAGTAAAAAATGTTATTTAAATAAAAAATGAAATTTGAAAACAAAAATCTTATTTAAATAAAAACTGTGATGTCAATAAAAATCTAATATGAAAAAATAGAAATGTTTAAAAAATCTAATTCAATAAAAATATAATATGAAAAAAAAATCATAAATTAATATAAAATATAATTCAAATAAATAAATCCTAGTTGAATAAAAAAATTTAACTGGATATTTTTTTTAGTCGAATTAATTTTTTTTCTACTGATTTTTTATTCATATTACAGTTTTATTCAAATAAGAATTTTTATTCAAATTACATTTTTGTAATTAATTTACTTGTTTTATTTAAATTAGATTTAATTATTTATTTAATATTTTTGTATTCATATTAGATAATTTTAATTCAAATTATATTTTTTTAATACTAGAAAAAATTGTAACCCAAAACAAAAATCTATTTTTAATATTTTAAATAGATACTATACGTAATAAATACTTAATAAATTAAAAATTAAATTTGATAAAATATCTAATATGAATATAAAAATATTGAATAAATAATAATATCTAATTTGAAAAAAAAAATTTAATTTCAATATAAAATCTAATATGAATAAAAAGCCAATTTTAAAGAATTTATTTCAGATAAAAAATGTAATTTGAATAAAATATCTGATTCAAATAAGAAAACCCTAGTTGTGAAAAACCTATATTTTATAAAAAAAAATTAATTTGAATAAAATATATTGAATTAATGAAAATAATCTAAATAAAATAAAAACGCCTAGTTGATTAATAAAATCTATATTTAATAAAAATCTTTTAAGTTAAGAAAATAAATACTTTACGTTATATTTCAATTAATTAACTCAAAAATTACTATAAATAATTTAAAAACATTGACTCATTACGGTTAAAGTTATTTAAAAAAAAAATGTTATATTACTCAGAAAAAATAGTTCAAATTTTAACCCGTTAGGCCTTTCTATTTTTATCAAATCTTACCTTGCCAATTCAATATTTCAATAAATAAATGCATATTTGATCCCTTGACTGTAGTAGTTTTCTGCCCATTGCACGGATTAATATGATTTGTCGCATATCCACACATTTTGAGACTTCATTACTTAGCCTTTGCCTTATATCTATGAACTTTTGTAAACCATCTAATTTGTTATTGTTTGTGTTGTACATTAATACTGTAATTGGTGTTGGAGTTATTACACTTCTTTCACAATCTTCAACACTACATAAAACTGTATCCAATGCAGTAGGGTTCCGATATTATCGATATAAGTAAAGTATCGATACTTCCTTTCGATATCCTATCCCTAGCAATACTATACACACGCTGTGTGATCGGTGTTCCTCGGCGAGAATCGTGTGTGTGAGCGCGTCTGTTTGCGATGATTCTCGCCTAAAAGGAAATCCCACAACGCAGCGCCGCTTGTTCAATTTTTAAATTCGTATACATACAATTTTTCTTAATTATTATTTGAATTTTGAACTGAATACTACATATGACGTTGTGTATGTCAAAAATAGGTAATACAATAGTAGTTATGCCACTTAAAATATTGTGTACACAGTTGTAATATTCAATTATAATACCAAATATATTAAGTTTGGTAGTATAGGTATACAATTCAGTGGCGTGTTTCCCAGGGAGGCAAGATAGGCCCGAGGCAGTGCCAGTTTAGGCATTCAGCATGTACAAATAATTAATCTTTAGATAGTATTGTTTATAGCACGAACTAAGATATATTTTAGTTCGTGGTTTATAGTTAATCCCTATTTTATTGCACGTCACACTAAATAAGTTATTATCAATTTCAAATGTATAATAACAGATACTAATATACTGTGTTTATTATTTTAATAATAAAAGATACCATACTATTTATTTATATTATGATTCTCCAATATTTCAATTTTATAATTATTCTATTTTCTGTGTGATAGGTACTGTGAGTGTAAGAGCCAAATAAAGTATTGAAGTAGGTAATCAGTTTTTTTATGACTATACTTTAATTTTAGTTACTTAAATTTATATGTGATTTTTACTAGAAAAGCACTAGTCATTTTATAAACCAAAATTTGTTATAATCTAGATTTATAAATTTTTTTATTTGATATTTTTTTTTTAAATTGTAAATATTTAACTATTTGTAACTCAAAACTAGAAACAGTAAATAATTGTTTTTAAACAAAATTATTGAGTTTTGAGAACTAGGGGATTCACGCTAAAAGGTCTAGAAGGGTAAAACCAAAAATTTAATGCCAGAACCGCCACTATGTCATATTACAGAAATATGGATTCCCATATTTTCTGTTTCGAATATTGGCGTGCGAATTCCGTGCGTAGGCGTGCCAATTCATGCTAATCGCGTGCTAATTATTGGTTAAAAAAAATTCGGGAAAATCTTTTTTTTTCATGGATGGGGGGGGGGCTGGCGAAACGGTCAAAACAAAGAAAGGGGGATTGCTCGGTAAATATTGGCGTGCCAATTCCATGCGTAGGCGTGCCAATTCATGCTAATCGCGTGCTAATTATTGGTTAAAAAAAATTCGGGAAAATCTTTTTTTTTCAAGGATGGGGGGGCCGGCGAAACGTTTCAACAGCCCCCCCCCCCCAAAGTTTATTGATTATTTCTCATTAAATATTGTCGTGCAAATTATGATAATAGTCTTGCCAATTCATGCTAATTGCATGCTAATTTTTAGTGAAAAAAAAATCCGAGATTTCAATATTGGGGGGGCTGGCGAAACGGACGTGATATTATAAAAGTTATTATTCTTATTGTCGTATAAAATAAGAAAATATATTATACGAATAGAAGATAATACAAATAATGAGCGACATATCAAGTTTGATTAAGTGCCGCGGACAGCTGAAGGCGGCCGTAAAAAGATTTTTAAATTTTGTAACGAAAGAGAACGTAGACGTAAATGAGATATACATAAGAAAAGAGAAAATAGAAGAAACCTGGAGCGAATACGAGCGAATCCAATCTGAAATAGAAGAGACTGAGGGCGTAGAGATGGACGAACAAGATAAATATCGAGAAGAGTTCGAAGAAATGTTTTTTAAGGCAGTAGGAATAGCCAAAAAATTGACGGAACCAGTGTTCAATGAAAAAAAAAGTGCAACCATACCGTGGTACTGATGAAGACGGAACGTGCGAAGGGAATTACCGGTCAATAGAAGCGACGACCGATATTAAAGATAGTGGTCGAAAAATCTCGCGTCCACCGATAAGATTATCGGCGTTGAATGTGCCAACGTTTTCTGGCGAATATAACGAGTGGGCAACATTCCACGATATATTTGCATCGTTAATCCATAATAACGAGGATTTACCTCCAGTTGAAAAGTTTTTTTATTTACGTTCCGCTGTGACAGGTGACGCGCAGAATTGTATTCGATGTATAGAGACTACATCAAGCAATTATGAAATGGCATGGAATAAATTAAAAAAAAGATATAGCAATAAAAAAGTATTGGTACAAACACATGTAAAGGCAATGTTTGAATTAGAACCAGTCACATCCAAATCGTCGGCAAAATTGCGACAGTTTACGGATGCGTTAACCGGTCATATGAGCGCACTGGAAACGTTAGGTCACACACCTAATAGTTGGGGGCCCTTACTAGTGCATTTAATAGTAACAAAATTAGATAGAAATAGTAGACGTGAGTGGGAGACGATTACGGCTAAAGAAGAAGTAGCACCGGTCGAAGTATTAATTGAATTTTTAGAATCGCGATTTAAAATATTAGAAGCAATCGAGACGTGCAAAAATATAAATATTCGACAAGGTGCGTACAAATTTAATAATCATAATAAACAATTGAATGAAAAGTCATCGTCACTAGTTATAGGAAATAATAAAGGTTGCTATATTTGTCAAGCGCCCCATACCATTTACAAATGTCCGATATTTATCGCGTTACCAGTTACAGAAAGAATAAAAAGAGTAGCCGAAATGAAATTATGTAAAGTGTGTTTACGACAGCACGTACCGAAAAAGTGTAACGGTAAGAATTGTTTTACTTGTTCTAAACCGCATAACACAATGCTACATCTTGGTAATAGTTCAGAGTTGAGAAAGTCGGAAGCAGAAAAACTGTCTGAAGATCAAGAAGCGACAGCAGCGGTTAGTGTACACGTAGCGGCTAGCTCGAGTGACCAGGTATTATTGTCAACGGCGGAGGTACGAGTTCAAAACGAGAGTGGCGAATCGCAAATCGGACGTGTATTGTTAGATTCAGGTTCACAATGCAATTTTATAACCGAAAGTATGGCACAAATATTAAAATTAAAAAAGACGCGCGTACAGCATACCGTATTGGGCATTGGCGGCAAAAGTCAAAACGTGAAGGCGGCTGTCGTAGTGACGATTCGTTCGCGCATTAATAATTATAATTTAACGTGTTCCTGTTTAGTTGTGCCTAAAATTACAAATATATTACCGTCAGAAAATATCGGAGGTGAATGCATAGTACCCTCGGATATAGAATTAGCGGATACTTCATTTAAAATTCCAAAAAAAATTGATTTGTTGTTAGGCGCATGTCATTTTTTCGAAATATTGGGTAAACAAAAAATTAAACCGACAATAAATGGACCAATATTTCAAGAAACTCAATTGGGCTGGATTGTTTCCGGTTTAGTAACATCAAAATATACGAATGGCAAACCAAATAATGTAAATTGCCATACCGCGTTAGTAGAGGAAAACAGAAGTACTAATTTGGAAATTATGGTATCAAAATTTTGGCGTACAGAGGAGTTTGAAGCGGCAGTGCCATATACTACGGAAGAAAAAAAATGTGTCGATCACTTTGAAAGGACGGTTAATCGAAATGAAAACGGTAGGTTTATCGTACATTTACCGTTAAAAAATGACGTTAATATAAAAATCGGACCGTCATACGAGATAGCGAAACGTCGATTTTTAGCATTAGAGCGCCGATTGCAAAATGACGAAAAATTAAAAAAAGATTATATTACGTTTATGAGCGAATATGAAACGTTAGGTCATATGGAACTCGTAACAAATGAAGAAAAGTTAGGTGAAACGTGTTATTTACCGCATCATGCGGTAAAAAATGAGAACAGTAAAACAACGAAGTTGCGAGTAGTGTTTGATGCGTCCTGTAAAACGGAATCCGGATATAGTTTAAACGATACACTATTGAAAGGGCCGGTTATACAGGACGAACTGCTATATATAATATCAAGATTTAGAACACATAAATTTGTATTAACGGCCGATATACAAAAGATGTAATGCCAAGTATTGGTGACGAAGCAAGATAGCGAGAAACAACGAATTTTATGGCGCGCGGACCCCTCATTGCCAATACAAATTTATCGTTTAACAACACTTACTTATGGAACAGTACCGGCGTCATTTTTGGCTACAGCATGTTTAAGGAAAATATCTGAACTAGAATCGTCATATGTAAAAGCTTGTGAGGCAATTAGAAACGATTTTTATATGGACGATTTCCTAAGTGGCGCGGAAACGAAGGAAGAAGCGATAAAGTTACGTGACGAAGTAATTTTAATAATGAAAAAAGCAGGCATGACGTTAAGAAAGTGGTCATCAAATGAACCAAGTATAGTTAGTTGTATGTCAGAAAAAGAAAATGCGAACGAGTGTATTTTTGAAGAAGAATCAATAACGAAAATACTCGGACTGTATTGGAATGCGGATGGTGATGTATTACAATACAAGGTAAAAGAATATCATGACGAAAATACTACAATAAGTAAAAGACACATTTTAGCCGAGACCGCGGCGATATTCGACCCGATGGGACTGGTCGGTCCAATTATAGTACAAGCAAAATTAATAATACAGAGCTTATGGCAAATTCGTATTAGTTGGGACGAGCCATTACCAGATAACATACGTATAGAATGGGTCAAATATAGAAAAGGTTTATCGATGTTAAACAAGCTGACCATACCACGTAATATTGGGTGTAATAAAATATTAACAAATATACAAATACACGGATTCGCAGACGCAAGTATCAAATGTTACGGAGCGTGTATATTTTTACGTAGTACCAATGAACAAGGAGAACACACAGCCAAATTAATATGTGCAAAATCAAAAGTCGCCCCACTTAAAGTTATATCATTGCCAAGGTTAGAACTATGTGCAGCACTTTTATTGGCGCGTTTAGTGAGCCGTATTGTTCCGAAGTTAAAATTAAATATCGCGAAAAAATATTTTTGGTCCGATTCAAAAATAGTACTATCATGGATAGCGTCTCCATCGACAAAATGGAAGACATTCGTGGCACACCGTATCGGGGAGATACAGGATCTGTCCAACATAACAGATTGGGCATATGTTAAGTCATCGGAAAACCCGGCTGATATAATATCACGCGGGTGCGACGCAGAGCAAATATCAAGTATTAATTTGTGGTGGAACGGACCGGAATGGTTAAAAAACAATATCGAGGAGTGGCCGATAACAGAAAAAACCAGCCAAAATGATAACATAGAAATGCTACCCGAAGCGAAAACAATACGAAATATAGCTCTTGTGGTGACTGACGAATTTATATTATTCAAAAGATATTCGTCGTTAAATAAAATATTGCGTATTGCGGCGTATTGGTTACGCTTTAGAGATTTTTTAGTGAAAAACCGGTGCCTCAGTCGGACCACTGAGAGCAGAAGACTTAGAACGTGCAAATATTGGTCTAATTAAAAATGTACAAAATAATTTTTTTAAATTGGAAATAGAAAATTTAAAAAATAAAAAATCGATACCAAAAAGTAAAATAAATTTATTGCGACCGTTTATAGACGATAAAGATATATTGAGAGTTGGAGGTCGATTAAAAAATGCAAGTACAATAGAGGTATTTCAACGACAACCTATTATTTTACCAGGTGACAGTATTTACACGAAATTGTTATTTCAGCGTGAACATATAAGGTGTATGCACGGAGGCCCATTGGCGATATTAGCCTTAGTGCGATTATACTATTGGCCGTTGAAAGCACGAAATATCGCTCGAGCGACGGTTCATAAATGTGTTACGTGTTTCAGGCAAAAACCGGTGTTCGTTGAACCCATAATGGGTGATTTACCTCGTGAACGTATAGAACCATCGCGTCCCTTTAAAATCAGTGGTATTGATTTCGCGGGACCGTTGTTAATCAAAGATAGCTTAAAAAAGCGAGCATCACTTACAAAAGGCTACGTGTGCATTTTCGTGTGTTTTGCGACTAAAGCGGTTCACATAGAATTAGTAATTGACCTGAGCACAAAATCATTCTTAAATGCTTTAAATAGATTTTTTGATAGAAGAGGTAAAAGTGCGGTAATCTATTCAGATAACGCTACGAACTTTGTGGGCGCGAATCGATATTTAAAAGAAATTTATGATTTATTTAAATCTACGGAACATAATAATGAAATACAAAAACAAACGGCCAATGATGGTGTAGAATGGCGGTTCATTCCCCCGCGATCACCGCACTTTGGGGGTCTGTGGGAGGCCTCAGTGAAATCGATGAAAAATCTGATAGGTAGAGTGCTAAGCGAGTCGCATTTAACGTACGAAGAACTAAATACTATACTTACCCGGGTAGAAGCATGCCTTAATTCCCGCCCTTTAACCGAAATGTCATCCGATCCTTCCGACTTAACATATCTTACTCCTGCACATTTCCTAATTGGAGAATCTCTGATGGCCATACCGGAAAGGGATGAAAGTACAATCCCGGCGAATCGATTAGACCGGTGGCGTCGTGTTCGACAATACACGCAAATTTTGTGGAAACGATGGAGCAACGAATATTTAAATCAATTGCAAGTAAGAAAAAAATGGTCAGTGGAGAGAGGTCCCACCTTGGCTATCGGAACAATCGTTTTGATGCGTGATGAAAATATTAAGCCACTAAATTGGAAGCTAGGACGGGTACTGTCGGTCAGCCACGGAGAGGACGGAGTTATTCGTACGGCGTTGGTGAAAACTATGACGGGCGAGTACAACCGAGCGGTACGAAATTTGTGCCCGCTTCCGTTTGATGATAACGTGGGTTAAGGTAATATCGTAAAAAAATGTGTATATTTTATATAAAAATGAATATAATTAAAAAGGGAAATTTTTTTTTTTTTACGCTTGTATAATAAGGGGTTAAATATAACTTATATTCATACGTTTTGTTTATATATATTTTGTAGTATATTGTATTTCGTTAGTTTTGCAATTAAAAAAAACAATAAGAATAAAAAGGGACATTTTCTCATGCATTGTAAGGAGTAAAATTCAAATGTATATTTACACTTTTTGTTAAAATTAATTTTTTTATATATATATTTATATTATCTACACTTATATTATGTATTTTTCGTGTGAATTATATATTGTTTAAATATTAAAATATTTCAAGGCGGGCGGTGTTGACGCGTGCTATTATATTATTATATTGTACTATATTATTATTATTATTTTATATTAAGAGTCGATAATAATTTGTATCGGTATCGTTCGGTCTTGATAAAGACGATACGCGGGCCGATCCCGATAACACATTATTATAGACTTGTATTATACTGTGTGACTATTGAGTCAGTCGCGTACGATCGATGTAATCGGCACCGTCTCGCGTCGTCGTAATAAATAACCAGAAATAAAGATATATATTTTTACGATCGAAATAAGGTGCGTTACAATATATTGTTTAAACTAATTATTCCTATCCGAGAACCAAAAACAAAAAAAGTGTTACAGTCCACAACAAACCATTTTTTTCAGTTTTGATTAGATTTTTTAATAACGTTTTCAGTTTTTATTGGTTTTGAATTTGATTTACAATAAATAATATCATTTTTTTCTGTTTTGATTACGTTTACTTTTACCGTTATCTATTTTTTCTGGTATTGATTTTAATTTTCAAAACGGTTTTCAACTTTTATTCGTTTCTTTCATTATTTATGCTACCGTTATCAACATTTTACGGTTTCAATTTTGATTTCAATTTCGATTTCGATTTTTTTATTTTTTTATTTTTATTGAACTTGAGCCCGCCAACTTAGGCGATTAGTTTTTTGTTTTGTCTGTAGGTTGTTGGTAGGGGGAATAACGGTTGAAAACACGTTTTTTGTATGTGTGGCAAGAGGATTCCATCCGGGTCACCCATCCGGGAACTAGCAATGCCGGCCCTTACATGCACTCAGCGCGTTTCCACAGTTAAGTGTACGCAAGCCTCAGCAAGCCTCGATTTCGATTTTGTAAGGGTTTTAATCGGTATATGAAACCGATTTCAATACCGGTTTCAAGCCCTGGTTTATATATACGCATGTGCCCAACCATAGGCGTGCGCAGCCCGTTGTTGCAGAGTGGGCCATGATACTTTAAACAAATAATTTTAACACTGTTATCATCCATAAAATTAGGTACATTAATTTACTCACCGATCATCACCTATACTGTTTACATTTTAAGGTATAATAATATATATATTTTTATTCACAAGTAGGGCTAGGATCTATATGCATTTGCATATTGTTTTCCCCAAGTCCAAATTGATAGGTTGTGATATTTGCCCACGATTTACCTTACCCTCGATTAAATGGAACCATTTTTTGTTTGCATATTTTATAGATTTAAGAGAATCTTGTTAATTTTGAATCAGAATGCTTATACCCAATAATAAGGCAATACAACTATGTTTGCTTTCTAAATTGCCATCTATATAATAAGTATGTAACAGCTCACAGGGAGGGCCACGGCCCACCTGGTCCACCCCGTGCTCACGCCTATGTGCGCAACACTATTTTAATAATGAGCGGAGGAACTCGTGTAGGTGTTTTTTCGATTTTTTTTGTCCGAGAGCAGCGCAGCGAGCGAATGGTGACGCTAGCACATTATGTGCTTTTTAACAACGTTGTTTAATTCCGAGGCCTGCCCGAGGTGGTTTTACACATTTTGGCCCAAAATCGCCCAAAATGGGTGGATTTACGCCCTAGTACGTTATTAACTATTTGAGAGATAGAGCTTTCAAATTATCAGGAACAATTATCGGTGAATTAAACGCCATATTATTTTTTACAGTTTATTATTATTTAAAATTTAACATAATTTGAAATACGATGAAAAACTAAATTTATAGCTAACTATAATCTCTGGTTTCTACCTTATAGGTAATAGTGTAATCAGACGCTTATTTAATATAAAAATTGGTGACAGTGGTCCTTGATAAATGAAGTTGTAAATTTGTATAAATATGTTTCACTTTTCACACTTTCATCTGTAATCAAACCTAAGTCCTAACTTACAAGTTACACTGGACATTAAACAATAATTATACCTGTGGGTATAGTAGGTACATCCCTAACTTTTGAAAAGAAGGTTGTTCATTAAATTCGTATATATTTTGGTATGGGTACCTACCTATTTATTTATATTTCGTACGTTATTTTTTGACACTCGGACCGTTTCTTATGGGTAGATGGAGTGAGGACGTGAGCAAAAGTTTAAAACTCATATTTTTAGAACATTTGTGCGTAGTATACTAGTATGTACCTATCCACCATCCACGGTCGTTTGTTTCAGAGTTACACAGAAACCGATTTTGCGTAAGAATTCCCCCTGTGCAGGGGCGTACTCAGGAATTTTCAATGGGGGGGGGGGGGTGAACATTTTGTTTTTTATCACGGGGACTTTGTCACCTCCTTTTTAAAAATATTAAATATAAACATGGTAATGTACTCTACAGAAAATAAATTTCAAAAATGAAAAATGTTTATTTAAAGAACAATATTCCGATTCCGATTGATTAACGTGTTCATGTTTTCTTTTAAGATTATTGTAGGGTTCAATGTACTTTGAACTTCCAGGCACACTAGTAAAAAATGTTATTATTTTATTTTTATTTTTTGACTTTAAGCGTTTATGGAAAAAGAATAAATACTTAAATTTTAATACTATCATTAATATTTTTCAAAAGTATATTAAATTACTATACATTTTAATAATTAATCTGTGTGAAATAGTACAAGTAATTTTAGTATATACCTAATTTAGAAAAAATAATTAATAATTTTGATTAAGGGGGCCTTGACAGTTTTACATTAAATTTAGGGAGCCTCACGACAAAAAAAATTGAGAAATACTGTACTAGATTATAGTGTAAAATATCTAAATATAATAAATATAACTAGCTGTCCCGGTAAAAGATCATGTTTTTAATGTTGCATTTCAATTTGAAAACTACATATACAGTTTTCACTGTTTATTTTTCTAACATAATTTATATTTATTGAAGAAATATATAAACAAATTTTTTGACAAAGGTTGGTTGCTCAATACACAGTCAAATATTAACCAAATATATCATAACGCATTATGTCAAAACAATAATGATATTCGCTTACAAAAGAAAAAAATGAGCAAGGTGTGTAATGAATTTTCAACGCTGTTTGGTTTATGGTAATTATCGTGCGTTTATTTTCATACTTAATTATTTTGTACATAGATTTTATATCATTCGTGGTACAATATTTCTTTTCAATTAGTTTATACTCTTTCGAGTGTACATTTAAAATATTTATCTTGGGGATACATATAATGGGTGGGTATGTGTACATATAACTCACGGTTTTTGGACTCTCCGTCAGTGATGAGGTCAGTACAGATGTGGATTGTGGGTGAATGTCAGCAGTGTCCTGTTGTTCAACCCTCCCCGTCTGATACAACAGACGGTAGTTGCCGGTGGTGTTGGCGTGGTTGACTCGTGCAGGTAGACGCAGGGACAGTAGTGATGGCTCAGCGTGCGATAAGTTGTAATCCGATACAACTTACTATATAAACAATGGCTTGACGTTGAAATAATGACAACATAAAATCGGACGGCGGCGGCAACAATAAACAAACTGATCGGACGGCGGCGGCAACGGCTCGGCGTTTACGATGAAAAACAAACTGATCGGACGGCGGCGGCAACGGCTCGGCGTTCACGATAGACGGCGGCGACAACGGATCGTACGGCGGCGACAACGGCTCGGCGTTCGACAGTGCGCGGATACGGGAGTGTCGGGCAAGACTATGTACACATCCGTTAATCACTAGTTGAAGAACTGGTGCGGCTTGTGCAGTCTCTTGGACCAATCACTGTTATATGTGCAAGCTGAATAGCGTCCGTAGTCACGAGTGGTAAAACTCGTGCGGATCGCTATTGCCTTGCACTCAGCGGGGAGAAGGCTTGTAGTTGCTGAGAAAACTCATGTTTTCCGATGGGCGGCCAAGGGCTGTTGTAATATGTGGCCAGCCAGCGCTATCTGTTGCGTCGTTTGTCCGTTGCACACAATGGATGCATTCGTTTTTTGGGCGGCGGCGCTTGTTGTTAGAGGATGTAATGAAGACCACTAGAGTGCGCCACATAAATGGGCACTCCGTTTTGTCTCATTACATTGTCCTTTTTTTTATTTTCTTTTTTTTTTTTTTTTGAGTTGTTGATTTTTGAAGATTTGGGAAAAGAGAGAAAAAAAATAAAATAAAAACTTAAAATTTTGACATCAGTGTAATGAATGATTGCTTTTGGTAAAACGGTTATTGTTTCTTCAGATTTTTGACTTGCTTGAGCTTTTCCTGATATATCAATTTCTTGAGTTTGGTATTCGAGATCTCACCAAAAACCTTGGTAAATCTGCTCATGGTGATAACATCTTTCTTAAACCCTTGGTATGATCCTTGATTTCTTCGGAGAACTTCTGACAATATTACTTGGATAGGATCTGGTCCAGGACTGTTTTCAGGGCTTTCAACTGAACCAATGGAACTCAATGGTGATGTGCCAATTTCGAGTATTTCCGTGTCTACTGGTTCGATCTCATCACTATCTGTGACTACAGTGTCAGGTGATGAGGGAGTGTCTTCATTCGGAGTATTAGTAACTTGCTTAGTTTGTTCAGCTTTGACCAGGCATACAGATTCCGGAAGAGTCCACTCTGGTTCCAGCCGGTAGTGAGTCCTTTTGGCTGCTTCCTCACGGTAAAAGCTGGCAATTCTTTTCCTCTGTTCACTGGTTAGAAATCGATCAA